TGTGTGTGTGTGTGTGTGTGTGTGTGTGTGAGTGTGAGAGAGTGTGTGTGTGTGTGTGTGTGTGTGTGTGTGTGTGTGTGTGTGTGTGAGTGTGTGCATACGTGCATGCGTGCGTGAGTGTGTGCAAGTGAGTGAGTTTGTATGTGTGTGTGTGTGTGTGTGTGTGTGTCTCTCTGTGGCGTGTCTCACATGTGTTCGGTTCTGTGGAGGTTCTGGCTGCTAATGTGAGCGGCGCCGTGACACTGCGGGATCCAGAACGACCTGCAATAACTCAGCGCTCAGGTCAAAGGTCAAGCACTGCCATCCGCCGCCAAACGGCATGCAGAATGACGAGCGAATGAGCCAATCACATGCGCTTATTAAACAGGGCCCGTATTCACAAAACATTTGATCTTACCACAAAGATTTTTCCTAAATAGCAGTCAAAGTTAAAGAGTTTCACAAAGCTGCTGAGACAAACTTGTACTGAGGAACAGAGAGAAGTCTTAAGCTCAGAGTGAGGGGGCGGGGCTGAGCTCGTTGCTATGGTGATGTCATCATGCTTATTAACTATGCACACAGTGATTGGCTGATAGTCTCTGTTAGAGATTCATTCATAGAAATATTGAAGAGTGCGATATTATGTTGCTATATTCAAATAAAGGTTTAAAAATAATAATAAATAATAGATTTTAAAATGCAGGCTAAGTGTCACTAATTAAACAAGTATATGTTCAGCTAATTGTCAGCCTCTTACATGTGTGCTTCTCATAATTAGTGAATATGCATATAAACAGCCTTTTAATAAACAGAGTGGAATAATCCTGGCTGATCGTAAGGCATGCAAGCGTAAAGAAAACCAAACGACGCGAGAACAGCTGTGACTTCTTACCCGGCTGCTTAATGAAACAAGGATATAATCAAAGCAGAATCTGGAGTTCAGATAACCTTTCAAACCGAAGGCGATATCTTTATTAAAGCTCATTATCATCACATGTTTCTAAAATGTTTCTGTTGCGAGGCAGATTTTAGGATAGTTTGTGGCTTCACTGCTCCTAACCTTTCTCAGATTTAGGAGCTAGTTTTAGAGCGAAAACACTTCGTGAAACACTCTTAGAGCAAACATTTAGGAGTCCTACATTTAGGACTGACACGCTCATTATTTTGAAGATTTTCTCCTAAATCGGCGAGCTATCAGCTACTTTTAGCCTGAAGATGTTTTGTGAATACAGGCCCAGAACAACACTAACTATTAACACACACTAACTCCAGCACGACACGACCGACGGTTCCACTTCAAGCAAGATGATTACACACACACACACACACACACACACACACACACACTCTCTCTCACACACACACACACACACACACACACACACACA